CAAAAGTTGCAGTGTAAAACACAGCAAAAGTTGCAGTGTAAAACACCCAAAGTTGCAGTGTAAAACACCAAAAGTTGCAGTGTAAAACACCCAAAGTTGCAGTGTAAAACACCAAAAGTTGCGGTGTAAAACACCAAAAGGTGCGGTGTAAAATTTTGTTCTTGTCGGCCACGGTATGTATGTATTATGTGTGTTTGTATGTTTGTGTGTTTGTCTCTACAGACCATTGCACGACTTACGTTCAAGCAGCAAACTATTACACTCTTTGAGTTATCCTTCAAAAACAACCATTTTAACAGCAGCATATACCCGCAGTCATATTACATAGACGGAACCTACTGAAGCTAATACACCATTAAAAATGAAAAAAAAAGCTCACATATCAGGCTACATAAAGCAATCGGACATGAATCATTATCATTCAACTGGATTGATTACATTCTATAAAGTACTAGGTCCAATCCTCTCCCAGATCGTACCCAGAACCACGCTTGAACTTTGATGCAGCCACGTAATCATCATCATCATTATCATCATCGCCTAAACCTGGCAACGGGACGTTCAGACTGGCGAACCCAGAATCTCGGCGTAAGTCAGGGGCGACTTTGGACGAGGACACCACGCTGGTTCTGCGGCTGCCTGCACTTAGGCATGACGAGGTTGATGAACTCCGGCTCCGGCGGTTCTCAACGTGCAGCTCGCTACGGGATTCACCGTGTTCTTCATCGGCTTCAAGAATGGGCTCGACACGGGGAGAGACTGGCGGAGACACTTCTGCATTTGGAAACAAAATGACCAAGAATTAATCGTAGAGAGGGACTAACACAGTTGGGGCGTTATTACTAGAAAGCTTAAAACAACTCCTGCAAAAAATGCGCAAAGATTGAGTATAACAAATCGTTTGGTGTTAAATAGCTGCGTGGCTGTGAAGCTGATGTGTTACATCAATCGACGGTTACATACCGGCTATACACGTCAGATACAGAAGGTTGTGTGTTACGCCGAAGTGCGGTTATACCGGCTATACAGATACAGGCAGATACAGACAGATACAATCGGTTCGGAGTTCATACACAATAATTGCAGATCTAGAGAGCTGTATACAAGAATAAACCCTCTGGCTTTGCTTTTCATAAGGTCAAGGTGAGTCCGGGTCATGCTTAGATACTTAGTATACCATATCATATGTTATATACCGAACAAAAATGCAACGCTGGTTGCTTCATTCAATGAGAGTTCTCTGATAATTGGGTTATTGTTTACATAGCATATGAATGAGGTATTACAGAAATAGTACCATGTATCGCGTACAACTGTCGTATAATAAAAGTTATTCTATAGTAAAACGTTGAACTTTATTCCAACACCACAATTAATTAAACAGAGATCAAACTTTCAGCGACCACAGGGCCTTCATCAGGATAGTACATATTGACCTGTGTAATTTTGTGACGCAATAAAGTTCAACGTTTTACTATGATTACTACCACACAGATGTATAACTTCCATGATAAAGTTCTTCTATGTTCTCTACATAATTAACTACCTACCGTCTTGCTCTTGAACGTCCTGCAGGAATTCCTGCGCCCTTGTGACAAAGATCCAGAGACTCCACACCATGTCGTCAATGTACATGGACATCTTATCCAGTCTGTCATTCAGGGAGGCCCAGGACTCAGAAAGCGGTCGATCCTAATAATGAACAGTGAAAAAAAGATAAGGAAACATGAAGATCAAACTATGTACATGTGTACATATAGTGGTCTATTCTTTGCATGTGGCCAGAACCGAATAAGTAAATAACTAGTATACCTATATGTGCATGAATAAGCTATTTGTGCTACACTAACAAATGAAGAAAGACAAAAAAGAAATACGCTTATCACAATTTATTGCCCAGGCATAATTATAAATAGCCTGTGGGTGGTGTACAAAGAATATAAATTAAGTAAGTGTACTATTTGGTTACTAATTTATATACTGACTTATAGTTCTTACTAGCAAAGATTTTGAAACAAATACATTGATGGGAACATTTCAGACCAGCATACCAAGATTAAAACACAGATTTACCTTGTGGTCTTTTGTCTCCCTTGCATATTTGCGTGACTTAGCCTCCAACGTCATTGAAGTGACGTCTTTTGTTTTTTGCACGTCCTTGATTTGACACTGCTTGTTTCTTCCTTGCTCCTTCTTGGTGTGCGCGGTGTCATTTCCGTCGTCTTGCCCTTGAGCTTCAGAATCTGCGGTTCCTGTATTTTTGTCCCCTGCTTCTTCATGTTCTTTCTTGTCTGTCTCGTTGGCCAGACCAAAGCTCGTCTTAAACTTCTCCCAAAGATAGAGCACTAAGTCGTCATCATCCTGCACCTCTTTCTTTGCCTAGATTTAAGGAGAAAATGATAATATTAATTGAAATATTGCACATACGGCTAATCCATTCTCATCGTTGTACTAAGAGAAATAACTAGCAAAATGAATGTTCTGATAAAGGGGCTTCTTCTTCTTTAGATGGCCACCATCGACCTGATTTGCAGTGTAATCAGAGGATTTCTAAGATTATGTAAAAATTATTTGATGAATGATGATGTAGCGCCCATTGATAATTTGAATCTACTTGGTTTGTGCATACTGATTAAACAACTTGAAAAAAAGATTGACCCCTGATAATTTTTGGGTTTCCACAAACTCTAATTTTCCCGTGTTTCGTACCACCAAGGACATTATACAGTATAATGTCCTAGGTACCATTTAAGACATTACCTGGCCACTTGAGCCACGTGATCTTAAATCCAGTCGAGTTAGGTTACGTAAGTTCTGGTTCTCTACTTTTCACCCACCACCACCCCTTTCTCCGCTGTTGGTTAAGTTACGTAGGTTGATTTATTGATTGGGTGTCGTTATTTACATTTTGTTAGCCTGCTAATTATTCTTTTAGGGAAAGTCTTTGTTAATGAATGTTTATTGCAAAGACATACACAAGGGCTAATTGTAAGTACAAACATGTATAACAAAAAGAAAAATCCATGTACAATGGTATGAGAGACTATATTACTAACAATGTACTATATTCTACAACATGGTACTAGTTTTCGTGGGTTTGACCTCTTTTTTTGAGGCAGTGGAAGACGAATTTATCAACTTTTTCTATAACATGTGGGTTCTTTGATTTTAGTAGCAAAACTGTTTTCTTGCGGCATGTGGTAAATTATTGCTTTCTGATAGAGTTATAAGAGGTCACATGGACCTAAAAGAGAGGGGACTGACTCTGGACACAGCCCCGGACACAGCTGCAGATAGGGCCAGATGGAAATCATTCCTGTAGCCTCAAGAACCACTAGGTTCCGAAGAGGATTGAGTAAGTGATATCGTATTAAAATTAATCAAACATTCCCTTTCTGTTATCGCTGTTCTATTGTCTGAGTTTACTATGATAATCGGATCCTTTATTTGAGATGATTAAATTTACGTAATCAACAATCACGTACCTCGGTAATCGCGTCCGCCAGAATAGCCAGGAACATGTTCATCATGATGAGGAACATGGTCACCAGGAACAACGCCAGGAATATACGTCCCAGAACCCCCCGCGTCCCCTCGAACCGCATGTCGCTGAAGTCCATGAAGCCGAAGGACAAAGTCAGCATCCGCAGGGACGCCATCATGATGTTCCTGGAAAATAGGGCAATATTTACCTTTGTTTTCAAAACCATACCCGAAGGCAAATTGCATGTGCAGTTTAGATAAGTATAAAGTAACAGCGTACAATCGTATACACATGTAACTACTAACTGATCAACTATATCAGTTATAAGTTATAAGTTCTCTATAATTGTGAGGTTTGACACGTCGAAAGAAGTGGATATTCCCCCATTCTGCACAATGAGTGGGTGTTTTGATTTGCTATTTTAATGGTTTTGTGGTGTGTTAAAACATTTTGTTTTCCCTCGTGTTTTCATTTTCTTCTCTTTAATTCTGCCATTTTTCAGCCAAATGACCAAATTTTTAAATGCGGCATGGAGGTAGAGGGGGGCAAATAACCCCAGAATTTTTTTTCATCTCTTTTTCAAACAGGCTTTTAGAATGATTTTATTTTGATTTTTCGAATGCAATTACACATTTGTATTTTGCATGCGTTTAATACAGATCACTGTTAGGTGGATGGATTCTATTCTACTCGAAATTCTTTTAAAACAGATATTCTATCAGTATTAGGAAGATATGATGAACGTATTGAATCTTATTAAATCGTTGAATAGTATAATTATTATTATCATTATCACAAACATACCTGTACCACTCTGACACCAGCCCGAACAGCAGGGTGGATGGGACGGCGAACGCGCAGAAGGCGATGAACAGCTGCACAGAGAAGGACATGATCCCCGTCGCCGCCCGGGAGATCGCCCGACTGGCCAGGGACACCTGCCTGTTGTGCCTCACCAGGCGGAGCATGCGCAGCGTGGCCACGAACATGAGGGCTGACAGGACTCCAACCAGCATGTTGTCGAGCAGCAGCACAGGTTCGAAGTCCACGTAGTCTCCTGATGAAAGTAAAATGCGGTACATACTGTAGTTTATGTTTTTTTTTTCATTGTACTTTTATGTTCACTGGTTTCGCTGTCAGTTCTGTTCCGTAAACTTATCATTACAGTAACAAACAAGAAGCCATAGGTAGCAATCCTCCGTGAAGTTTTATATATTTCAACAAAATCCCAAGCGTCAACGCCAGACCTACTGTGCAGACATTATAATTAGGCAACGGTTAATACAATGAGGGCGCGTCACAAGCATAAAATATACAAAGAGCTAAATCCATTACTGCTCCCAGGGCGTGTAAAGATACTGTGCTTCAAGTTCGAAGTTCATTTTAATTACACACACACAATCATTGCATTCACATAAAGATCGGACTATCATGGTCGTGTCTAGTAACAAAGACAGTCCCACCGTCTTACCGTGCCTGTACCTAATTAAGCGCGCCTGGAACAGGCCAAATTACAGCAACAGTTGCGGTAAGCACCGCGAGTGTTACTACCGCCGGCCAGATAACCAGGATATCTGCTTAGAGTACCTCTGCTACCAGACAACTGCCTAAATTACGGCCTATTACACAGGATTGTAAAAGTAGGGATGTTTCTAAAATATGCCTTTGCTTCAATATCAAAACAGCTACGGTAAAAATAAAAAGACGTGCATCATCCCGGACATAATGCCACACCACATGCGAAATTACACAGAAATGCGACGTACGGAAGAATGCGTTTTGGCTGCGAACATCTTCCGAAAAACTTGGCATCTCTTAAGCATGGGCAAAAACATCTGGAACCACTTATCAAAACCACCCGGTATGTGCATGAAGTTCCCCCCCCCCCACTGCTATTCCAAACAACGCGTTTTTCTGGACCATTCCAATTCGCCTCGTAATTGTATTGGTGCGTCTGCAATATTACATTGACCGCGAAAGCAGCAACGGCAAAAATACACATTCGTGCATCAACACGGGCATGCCCGCAGACGGCGTATAAAATTGCGTGCCGATTACACAAAGAGAACCCAGTGTTTTGACTGCGAACATAAAAAAATCAGCCGATCACAACACTCCGTCCGGAGGTCCTGACCTCCTTCACGGAGTAATAATCCATGGACTTTTGTTTCCCTCATGTGTTGCCACCGTGAATATATAGTTCCGTGAACATGTCCATTTTTCTCTGACCGTGAAATTTTGCTACTGTGAATATAAAGTAAATTACATAAAGTGCATCGCGGTACATAATTGCACCACGCAACAAAAATCCGAAATGAAAGGTTCATTGAGATTCATTTTGAAGGCACATAATAGATATCATTAACAATTCATTTAACAATAGCACTAAACAAGGTCATTTATCACTGAAAATTACCACTGAGAATTACAGACATTTGTGATATTGGAAAGTACTGATTTATTGGCGTTGAAATTGGGAAAATCATAAATATTGCTTAAAAGATGGTTAAATGACAAATGGTGAGCTGAGGTTACATTCGTCATAGGTGCCGTACTTGAGTTTAGTAGGGTCCCCATTTAGCATACATGTACATGACAGTAAATATTCTTCCTGTTGTCCATTTAAACACACAACACGATACAGAAAAATATACAATACATTCAATACATTCGTTTGAGAACACTAGTCATCATCATCCACTGTATTCTACGTCTACAGTCGTATGGAAATGTCCTGTTGCCGCATTCAGTCTTTCTTAGTGAATTCAGTCTGTCTTAGTAAACAATAGTGAAATGATATAACACACGCCATAGATGTCGGACTATTTATGGGTTCACCACCACGAAGTGGTGGTGAACCCATATTGCTTTTTCTGATGTTTCTCCTCCTCCTGCCATATCTTTAAATGGATTCAGCTTC